CCTTTTGGCCACTCCAATCGCAAACTATCCTCACACAGGTGTTACTATGCTCACCAACCCCCCTCCAGCTGCTATGCCCTACCACCAGCCTGCTCCTGCATCCCCTCCCTAGCTAGACACTCTAACTCCAGCCCACACTTGCATCCTCCCTCCTGGCCACACTCTGCACCCTCCCCCCTCCTGCACCACATCTCCCACTCAGATCCTGTACCCCCATCACTATCCCACTCACTGGCAGAGACCAGAGGGGGGGCACATGCCGGAGGGGAGAGGGAGGAGGTCACATGGCTCCCACTTCCCCAGAGCACCAGTGTGGGGCTGCAGCGGCCAGCCAGTGGGTCAGGCTCAGATGATAGAGGGGACCTAACCCCAGCAGCAGCAGCTCCTCCCCAGCAGTGCAACTCCCAGGGACATGAAATGGAAGCCAGAGCCGGAGCAGCCCATGCCCAGAGGGTATTCCACGCAGCTGAGGATGGAGATGGGCGGCAGCAGCAGCATGAGGATGCAGACGAGATGATGACATCACTCTATTGTCCCACAGAATTTTTTTTTATATATAGAGAGATGTTGTGCAAATAGGAAGGCTGGACCCGTGGTTAGGACCCTGTGGTGTAGAAGATCTCATTCAAGTCCTTGCTTTGCCAAAGACTTCCCAGTGACCTTGAGCAAGTCATCTAGCTTAGTTGCTCTCAGTCTTTCCAGACGACTGTACCCCTTTCAGGAGTTTGATTTGTCTAGTGTATCCTCAAGTTAAACCTCACCTAAAAATTGTTTGTTTACAATATTAGACATAATATTACAAAACTGTCACAGCACGCTGTTACTGTAAAATGGCTTACTTTGTCATTTTACCATATAATTTAAAAAATTCTAAATTGGAATATAAATATTGTACTTACATTTCAGTGTATTATACAGAGAGCAGTATAAACAAGTCATTTTAGTTTGTACTGGCTTTTGGTAATGCTTGTTATATAACCTGTTGTAAAATGAGGCAAAAATCTAAACAAGTTGATATACTCCCTGGAAGATCTCTGTGTACCCCCAGGGTGCATGTATTTCTGGTTGAGAGAGACCCACTCTACTAACCTCACTTTCCCATCTGTAAAATAGGCATAATAACACTTCCGTACATTACAGGGGTGTTGTGAGGCAAAATCCTTTAAAGACTGTGAAGTAGTCCAGCTACAAGCATCTAAGATAGGGTTGGGAGGAGCAATTAAAACATTTTATAACTAATATAATACAGTAAACTTGTATTTCATATGTTGTCCCATCCTTCAATCTTTCATGCACAAAAGATCACAAAACACTTTAATGAAGTGCTCAGATACCACAGAAATGGGCATGGCATATGGACCTCAAAAGAATAATCTAGAATAATCATAAGCTAAAGAGGAGAAAGGCTCAGAGGGAGAGGATGAGAGCAAGTGATAGATGGCAGAACACTTATATCTGTGGAGACTGGAATAAAAGACTGAGCAAGAAGCAGGTAGTTGAAAGATCACAGAGGCAGCATGGGATGGAATTCAGTAAACGGAGAGTTTGGAAAACTCAAGAGTAGATTG